TTGATAAAGTTTCTTTACCTCACCCTGTATTTGTTTCTTAATCAATAAAATAAAAGATAACCTCCATGGTCCCTTCCATTTACAAATCTATGATGCTTGGTTTACGATGAAACCTGATGGTCAGAGCGATGACTAGGAATCTCGGTTCTTTGGGTTAAATTGTGCAAAACAATCCTACCCATAGCAATGAGAGGGAATAACCCAACCTCTTTCCCTTTTCTTCTGAAATCCAACAACCCATCACCATTACTTTCCTGCCATTTCTGCTAGGGGTAGTAAAAGACCGTGAGGCACAAGGGTAGAGCCCCTGGGAGGAGAAAGCCAGTCCCTGGGGAAAGATCCCAGCCACTCCACCCTAGTTACAGCTCTGTGGGTGACAGATGACATGGCCATGAGTCACACTTGAGCTTGTGCTCTGGGGACTGCCTTCTGAGCCTGTGAGGTGTTCTGGTCAGCCAGCAAATCATAATAGGACCCTCAATGGAGAGCTAAGAGGGTCCTCAGAGACAAACTAGTCTTACACTTTCATTTTATAGATGAGGAAGCTGTGACAATTTGTCCAAGGTCACACATCTAGTAAGTAGGAGAGCCATGATTCAGTCCAGTTCACTTGACTTCAGCTATTGCATTCTTACCAGTCCTAGGAGTTGTAGAAGATCATGAGTGCCATATAAGTCGAGTCAACAAGTATTTATTAAGCACCTACTATGTGCCAGGCACTGTACTAAGTGTGAGACATGCAAAGGAAGTCATCAACTATGGTCCCTACTCTCAAAGCAGCCAGATGGTTCAGCAGATTGAATATTGTGCTTAGATCAGGAAGACCTGAGTTCAAATCCTACCTCAGATACTTACTGACATATCCCTAGGCATGTCATTTTACTTCTGTCTGCCTCAATTTCCTCGGCTATAAAATGGGGGTCATGATACTACCGGGTTACTGTGAAGACCAAATGGTAGAATGGTTTTAAAGTTCCTGACTCATAGCAGGTACTTAATAAATTTTTGTTCCTTTCTTCTACTCATTTTTCAGTTGAGAAAATAGAGGCTGATGTAGGTGAGGTGGCTGCAAGGTCACACAGGCACCAAGTACCAAGGACAGGATTTTAGCCCAAGTTCTCTGACCCAGGAGTCAGGACACTCTCCACTGAACCACACTACCTCCACTGTTATATTTGAGCCCCAAGGTTAGAGCAAATATCTAGTCCTACCTCCTCTACCTGGGTCAATCAATCAGCAAACATTTATTGTTGTTGTTGTCCAGTCATTTTTCATTTGGGGTTTTCTTGGCAGAGATCCTAGACTGGTTTGCCATTTCCTTCTCCAGCCCATTTTATAGATGAAGAAACTGAGGCAAGTAGGGTTAAGTGACTTGCCCAGGGTCACACAGCTAGTAAGTCTCTGAGTCCAGATTTGAATTCAGGAAGATGACTCTAGGCCTGCTATTCTATCCACTGTGCTGCTCAGCTAAGCACTGAACGAACAGGTTAGTCAGACTGCATTTGGGCTGCTGTGTTTGTTTCAGTGAGTGGAGGACCACTAACAGAACCATCTCCGCATGGCATAGACTGTTTCTGGAGGCAGTGGTGTTTAAGCTACGATTTGATGGATGGATAACTGGATGGATAGATGAATGGATGGATGGATGGACGATCACTTTTCTGGCATGGTGTTGAAAAGATTCTTATCCAGTTATTGCTTGGACCAGATGATTTCTGAGATCTCTTCCAGCCCTGAAATTCTGTGGTTCTGGGATTGAGTGAACTCTGTAGTCCACATGACCCCTAGTAGAAAGAGATGGTTGAATCTGAAAATACACCATCAATGAGGCCAGTAGGATCTCATCCACAATCCCCTAAAATGGTAGAATAAGATGGGGCAGCTGCTCATCGATGACTCTGTTCACTCTTCACCCCCAAGCTTTGCCCCAGTGCTCTGAGCATCTTTGAGATAATATAAATATTTCAAATTTCTGTGGCTGTTCCTCCATAGATAGTGATTCTCCAGGGTATAATCGATGTTCTTCACAAGTGGCCATCCTTTTGGCAATTAGCTTCCCTGAACTTAGCTGGGCTGGCTCTGGTACGAGCCCATTCCCAGGGATTTTCCACCAGCCCAGTGAAACACCGCTCATAAAGAGGAATTTTTAAAAACAGTTTAACAAAATAGCAGTCACCAAGTGTTTGAGGAACCCAAAGATCTGTTTGGTTGAGAATTCACTATTCAACAACTTATGGGAAAGCTTGAAATCAGTTTGCAGAAACTAGGTATAGACCAGCAACTGACACCATGTACCTAGACAGACTTCAAATGAGTACATGATTTAGACATGAAAGGTAGCAACATAAACAAATTAGAAGGGCAAGGGAGAAATTTACTTTTTAGATTTATGCATAAGGCAAGAGTCCATGACCAAATAAGGGATAGGAAGGAATACAGAATGTAAAATGGATAATTTTCTAACATAAAATGTAAAAGTTTTTGCACAAATAGAACCAATACAGCTAAAATTAGAAGAGAAGGTAAATGGCGGAAGAGGGTAGGGAAATCCTTGAAGTAAGCTTCTCTGATAAAGATATCACTTCTAAGACTTATAGGGAAGGGACTAAAATTTATAAGGATAGGAACTGTTCTTGGCACAATGGATAGAGTGCTTGGCCTGAAGTCAGGAAGACTAATTTTCCCGAGTTCAAATCTAGCTGTGTGCATTATACATTTACTAGCTGTATGACCCTGGGTAAGCCGCTTAACCCTGTCTGCCTCAGTTCCACATCTGTAAAATAAGCCACAGAAGAAAATGGCAAGCAACTACAGTATCTTTGCCAAAACAAAACAACAAAAAACCTCAACAAAATAAAAATGAATGAGGTCACAAAGAGTTAGACATGACTGAAATGACTACAATAGCTACCACCAATTGATAAATGGTCACAGGATGTGAACAGGTAGCTTTCAGAGGAAGAAATGGATACCACAGTTATCCATAAAAAAATGTTCTTAGTCACTTATAATTAGAAAAATGCACTTTTTAAAAATCCCCATATCCACAGATGTACAGAACTGGCAAAAAAAAAATAGTGACAAATGACAAATGCTGCAGGAGCGATGGAAAAACAAATACATTAATGCATTATTGGTGAAGCTATGAACTGGCCCAGCCATTCTGGAAAGCAAGTTGGAATTACAACCCAAAAGTTATTAAACTGCTTATATCCCTTGACCCAGAGATGCCACTACCAAGTCTATAACCTCAAAGAATTCAGAGAAAGAGGAAAAGGACCCATATGTACAAAAATATTTATAGCAGCTCTTTTTGTGATAGCAAAGAATTGGAAACTAAGGGGGTGTCCATCAATTGGGGAATGTCTGGACAAGTTATGATATGAATTTGATGGAATAGTGTTGTGCTGTAAAAAAAAAATAGTGATAAAGGGGATGATTTTAAAGAAACCTGGGAAGGCATATGAACTGATGCAGAATGAAGTCAGCAGAACCAGGAAAACAATTTATACAATAACAACAGTGTAAAGACAAACAACTCTGAAAGACTTAGCGTCTCAGATCAATGCAGTAACCAAACACTGTTCCAAACACTGATGAAATGTGCCACCAACCTTCTGATAGAGATTAACTCAGGGCAGAATGAGATGTATTTTTTGGGGGGGACATAGTTAATTCAGGAATTTATTTTGCCTGACAATGTAACAAGGGTTTTGTTTTGCTTTCTCAACAGGATGGCAGGGGCTGGGGTGGAAAGAAAAGAAGATGGATTTTCTTTGATTGAAAAAAAATTTAATTGAAAAAATTCATTTCACAAATAAAAAGGAAAAGGAAAATCAGTCGAGGGGGAGAAATCTGAGGGTCTTAGTGAACTGCAAGCTCAAGGTTAGATATGGCAGCCCAGGAAGGCAAGAGGATTGTCCATTCTGTTGAGAGGCAGAGCATACAGGGCTATAGTGACTATAGACCCCACTACCCTCTGCCATTTGCCCCTTCCCAACCACTGTGTTTTAGGAAGGTCCCACAATCAACTAGAGATTCTCCCCAGAGGGTGAGCAGGATGATGAAAATCCTTGAGTCCATGTCACATGAGAATTGTTTAAAGAGAGAAGAGAAAACCTAGTGGGGGGACATCATAACTAGCTTCCAGTGTCTGAAGGGTTGTGGAATACGTAGAAGTATTCAATTTGTTCTTGGCCCCCAAAGCAGCACTAGGAGCAGCAGGTGGGAGCAGAGACAAATCTAGGCTTGACAGAAGACAAACTCACTAAAGGCTGAAGTTGTCCCAGGGTGGTATGGGCAGCCTTCACATTGAGTAGGGTCCCCTTCCCTGTAGGCTTAGTTTAAGCCAATGGCCATTGCCTGGGGATGATGAAGGTTTGACGGACCAGAATTTGGTCCAGGTGCAGTTTCATGAGGCCATACATAGATTTAAAATTCTAAAGGGACTTCAGCCATCAACATAAGCCACACCACTCCCTTTTTACAGATGAGAAAGCTGAGGCTAGAGAGTTAGTAACTAGCTGAGGTGTCTAGCGGCAGGGACAGGATTCCCATTTAGTGAAGTACTCTTCCCAGCAGGCTAGACATCTCTCTCCCGGAATGCTGCTCTGCTGGGTCCTCTTGTGGGTGAAAGCACCGGCAGGCAGGAATCTTTGCAAATCCTGGGGTTGCTTGGATATTTCCTTAGTCACCTGGAGCTTCTCTGGCTCCTTTCAGGGGCGGGGTCACTGGGGCTGAAAAGTCCTAGGAGGGGAGGAACTGCGGAGGCTCTGAAGCCCTCTTTTGGACGCCTTGGGTGTGGATGGAGTGGATAGGGTGCTCTGGGCGGAGCAAGGGTTGGGGCTGGGCTTGCAGCCAATAAGGGCTGGGCTAAGCTAGGGAGCAACTACCAGGACACTGTTGATGATCTCCCGGGAAACATCCCACGTGGAGGGACAGATCCTGGGCTGGCAGACCCGCAGGTAAGCGAGTGCCGCCTTCCTCCTGCCCCTCTGCCCCCAAGGCGCGCAGGCTGCGTGCGTCCTACTTCTCGGCACAGGGGCCACAGGAAGCCCCCCCCCCCCTCCAGACTTGAGTGCTTAGGAAGCACAGGTACTGCACTGTGGGTTGGGCTGGGGTGCTCTGAACTGGAGAGCACTGGGCTGAGTTGTAGTATGGCTGAGCTGAGATGCTCTCTGCCTGGGAGGGCTGAGCTGGACTGGGTTACACAGAGCTAGGCTGGACCGGGGTACACTAGACTGCGATACACTGGTCTGGCCTGGGCTTCAGTGCGGTAGGCTGGGCTAGGGCAAAAGGAGACAGCAGGAAGAGAGCCACAGAGAGGCATGGCCTGGGAAACCATCGACTTCACTGCCTCTCCAAATCTCTAAGTTCTGTAGATAGCCCAAAACTCCATGAATCTTTCTGACATCTATTTCCCTTGCCCCTCAGAGACCATTCTCTCACTCTCTCTCCAACTGCCTTTCTTCCTATCCCTTTTCCTTCCTTCATTCAGAAAGCAAAACTCCTTCCCAAGTGAGCCTGCCCAGTCTTCTTCTCTACCGTAAGGACTGAGGACTCCCCTACCTTGCCCCACTTCCTGGGAGCCATGGGCAGAAGCTGTCTAATGGCTTGTTGGAGCTAGTACAGAGAAGAGTCTAGCTCAGCTAAGAGGAAAGGGGGGACGGGGGACAATGACCTCTGAACTCCCTTCTACCTCAGGCACTCTGTGATTCCCATCAATGGTTCTGCAGTGGTTCCCTCCATCCATCCCTGCTCCACCAACTTTCCAGCCCCAGCCCCAGCCCCAAGAGACCAGAACCCAAGCCAATCGGCATACAGAAGCTCAAGCCAGTCTCCCACTCCAAAGCTAACACAACCTGCTAATGGGGGTGGGAGTCACAGTTTCCATGGTCCTGCCTTGGGCAGGGCTCGTTTGAAGGGTGTGGCGTGGGGGTCATTGGTCTGGGCCAGTACTTTTCCTATCAGACCTGGGAGCTGGGAGCTGGTTGGGAGCTGGGACCTAACCTCCCAGAATCTCTTTTAAAATACATGCAACAAGAACAACAATGAGGAACCGTGAGTAATCATTGTTTAATGATTCGTTTTGATCATTTCAGTTCAATAAAGACTTACTAGGTGTGTATTGTGAGCAAAGGAATAAGAGAGTAGGATGGATTAGGTAATTATTAAGTGTTTCTTATGTGGCAGGTAGTGGGCAGAGCACCGGGGATACAAATACAAGCAAGCAAGACTGCTTGCCCACAAGGAGCTTATAGTCTGATGAGGAAGGCAACCTATAAATTGCACTAGAAAAAGGGGGAGAGAAAGGAATAGGGAGGAGTCCTAGCAGAGCAATGTAAGCCTGCTTCCTGGGGATGATAAGACGAGGTTCAACCCAAGCAGTGTCAGGGAGGAGCCAGGATTGGGGTCCTAATTTCCTATGGGGAGAGTAGGTCCATGGCAAGAATGGATTTAGATATTAAAGGGACCTTAGAGGTCAGCTAGCACGACCTCCTCACTTAACAGGTCAGGGACTGAACCCAGGGAGATTAAATGATCAGCTCACAGTCACAGAGGCAGAAAGTGGAAAAGCCCAAATTCGAGCCTTATTAGCTGTGTGTCCTTGGGCCAGCCACCCAACTCGCTGGGCCTGACTTTTTTTTTTTTGTGGATCTGAAAGTTTTATTTGAATCTATTTCCTTTTTAAAAGAATCTTTATTTTTATCTGAACTTAAGAAATAAAGCAAGCATTTCCATAACATAGTAGAATAGAAAAAAAAAGATGATTGTACATGAAACTGCAAATCTCTTATGTACAGCTTGCTATTACTTTTAAATATATAGTAAAGTTATCATGTGACTTTCTTTTTTTTTCTTCTTTTCTTTCCTTGAGGAAGGGGCTGGAACAGATGGTCTCTTCCAGCACTGCTTCTATGACTCTACGAGCAAGGCAGTGTGGTGCAATAGATAGTGGGTCATCAAAGCCCTGGCATATTAGTTGTGGGACCATGGCCATACCACTTAATGTCTTAGACAATTCTCTGATTCTAAGTTATAGAAGAGTTGCTTATATGTGTTGTCTTCTCTTATTAGAATATAAATTCTTTGAGGGCGGAGACTGCCTTATTTTTTGTAATTATGTCCTCAGCACATAGCACAGTGCCTGGAACATAATAAGCATTTAATAAATGATTTTTTGTTCATTAATTCATTCCTTAGTAGAGGGAGTATATCAGTGAAATCACCAGTCTCTCCCTAGACCCTCCGGTGATCCTATGAATGCCCCATAGCAAGAAGATAAAATTCTCCCTCCTCTCTAGCTAGGGGACTTCCTGAAATTTCCCTCCCTGCCCCTCCAATTAGCCTATGTCTCCTTCAGCTCACGGTCATTCAATTTGTACTCAGGAAGGTAGTCATTTAAAAAATTGAAAGGTGGCAGAAAGACCCATAGACTAGAGTCCAAATTCTCCTTCTGATACTAGCTGTGGGAGACCAGCACAATGACACATACCTGTGCCATGTGCTAGTGGAGGTACTGAGGCTGGTGAATCTCTTGAGCTCAGAAGTTCTGAATTTCAAAGGAGGATGGAAAGAGAAGGGAATGAGCATTTATACAGCGCCTGCTGAGCACTTTACAAGTATTACCTCATTTGATTCTCACAATAACTCTGGGAGATGTTTGCAGCTTCCTCCCGCCTGTTAGCGTACAGTTTTCCAACTCTTTCCTGTAAAATGCCAGGGCAGGATGATAGGATTACAGCACCATCTATTTAGAGTTTCTACGGCGGAAATGCCCACAGTCCCACCACCGAGGTGGGGATGAGTCACTTTCATAAGCTAGGCTGGCCCTCAGACAAGAGCTTTGTGCAGGCAGTGGTCACCAGGCCTGTGCTCACCAAACCTCAGAGATGGATGGGGCCTCAGAGGCCGCTGCGTCCAGCCTGTCTCTGATGTGACCATGTCCCTCATGTGACCTTGTGCCTCAGCCTCCTTGGGCCTCAGTTTCCTCATCTGTAAAATGAGGGGATTGGACGTAGTGGCCTTTAAGGTCCCAGACAAGTGGTCATCTGGCTTCTTCCTGAAAACCTGTAATGAAGAGGATCCCACTAACCTCCTTGGGGGAAGGGGTGTCAATTCCACTTTGGAGCCAAGCAGAACAAGCCTATTTCCTCTTCTCCTTCTTCTTCTTCTTCTTCTTCTTCTTCTTCTTCTTCTTCTTCTTCTTCTTCTTCTTCTTCTTCCTAGGCAATGGGGTTAAGTGACTTCAGGGTCACACAGCTAGTAAGCATTATGTGTCTAAGGCCAGATTTGAACTCAGGTCCTCCTGAATCCAGGGCCAGTGCTCTATCCACTGTGCCACCTAGCTGCCCCTAAGCCTATTTCTTCTCATAGCATCCTAGGCCTAGAGCTGGAAGTGGCCTCGGGGGTCATGGTATCCAACCCTCTTGTTTTACAGAAGAGGAAACTGAGGCCCAGGGAAGGCCCATGGGATGATTGAATCATACACCTACAGGTAGAAGGGACCTCCAAGGCCATTGCATCCAACTCTTTCATTTTACAGAAAAGTAGACTGAGGCCCAGAAAGGTTAAGCAATTTACCTGAGGTCACACAGCTGGTAAGTGTCTGGGACAATTCAAACCAGGTCTTCCAGACTGCAAGTTTGAGGGTACCCCTTAAAATATATATATCCCCATTTGGGTCCAAACCTAAGACTTTCTATGTGTAGAGCAGATGTGATCACCACTACACCATGCAGCCAGTCAGGGACCAGTGCCTTCATGAGCCTGGAGTCACTTTTGTGCAATGATGAGGCTTTACAGGGGAGTGTTAGTGGGGGAACATTGGCAGAGGGTATTGTGGTGGGTCAGCACTGAGGAACACAGCCCTGCTGAAGGACTAACATCTCCCTTTCATCACTGACCACTGTATTCTCCATTCTACAGGCACTCCTCTAGGGTAAGGAGCAGGAGATGTGACCGTAAGAGGCCCACAAGGGATGTCAGCCCAGGAGCTCACTGTCCATCTGTGGCAGGAGGGAGACCGCCACCTGACCCTGGATGAGCTGCCCCTGGCCACTGCCTTCTACCTGGCTGCCTTCAGCTGCCACCCATCCTCAGTGGTGCAGAGGGCACAGCAGTCGCTGAGCCAGGAGCAGACGGGGCAGGTGGTCTCCATACTCGAGGCCTGGTGCCGGGGAGAGGCCCAGATCCCCTCTATCCACTGGGATGGCATGGCCGTGGTCTCCCTCACTGTGGCCCTGGCTGCCGCCTTCCTCAGCGCCCTCCACCCCAACAACCTGGCTGCCTCCCTCTATAGACTGACCACCCTGATGGGGCAGGGACGGCATGAGGAAGTGGCCAGTCGATGTAACGCTCTTCTGGAGGTCCACGTCCCAGGATCCCTGGAGCTGCGGCTCGTGCGAGCTCTGGCCTGGATCATGTCTGGGGCCAAAGTGGGTGATGGCGTCATTGAGTATCTCCAGGCCTTCGTCACCTATGCCAACCAGACTCTGGGCTTTATCCTCTCTCACCAACGGGACCACCTCCCCCTGCTCATTCGTGCCTGCCAGGATTACCTCCTGGAGCAGCACAAGGCAGAGGCAGCTGGAAGCCAGTGGGCCAGTGATTGTCACTGCTTCCTAGCTGCCCTGGCCCCCAGAGAGACCCAGGGATCCTCCACACAGGCTGCGTCTCTGCTCAGGACAGGCAGATGGGAGGAGTGTGTGACCATGTGCAGCCGCATGCTTGAATCAACCCCAACTGATGGCAAACTCCAAGGTACTAGCAGACAATTTTTTAAGTATTAACCATGAAGATAAAAGAAAAATCTTAACATCAGCTGCCTAAGTGGGTGGTTAATGGCCAGATACCAGCTGGGGAAGGTCTTCTGAAAAAGGTGGGATTTGAGTTGAGTCCGGAAGGAGGCCAGAGGAGTCAGGAGTTGGAGGTTAGGAGGCAGAACATTCCAGACATGGAGGACCACCAGTACAAAGGCATGGGGGTGGGAGATTGAGTGTCTTATTCAAGGGGAGTCAGTCAGTCAGTCAAGCATTTATTAAGTCCCAGATATAAAGTTCAAATCCAGCCTCAAACACTGACTACCTGTGTGACCCTGGGCAAGTCACTTCCCCTCAGTTTCCTTAATTATAAAATGGGGATCATGAGAGCACCCACCTCCAAGGGTTGTTGTGAGGATCAAATGAGACAATTACAAAGCGCTTAACACTCAGTGTCAGGCACATAGTAGGTGCCGTATAAAGTTCATTCCTCTTCCCCCTATAGATGAAAGGTAAATACACTTAACAGTGTGACCTTGGACAAGTTATCTAACCTCCTTGGTCCTCAATTTCCCCATCTGTACAAGAAGCAAGTTGGACTCAATGACCTTCCAGTTATAGATCTATGGGTCCCAATCCCATCTTTGTTGTGACCTTGGGGAAATCATTTACCCTTCCATTGCCTCAGTTTCCCCATCTGTATCAGGGAGTGGGTGGACTCTTCCAACTGTATCTATGGATTCATTATCATTATCTAATTAATTATCATTATCTAAGGGATCAGTCAGTGATTCAGATCATTATAGCCTCAATAGGGTATATTGTTGGCCTTCATTGGATAGGACTGAAAGGTAGCTAGGTGGTGCCAGAGTGCACAGAGAGCCAGATCTGGAGTCAGGAAGACCTGAGTTCAGATCCAGCATCAGACACTTCCTAGCTGTGGGACCCTGGGCAAGTCACTTCATGCTGTTTGCCTCACTTTTCTTATCTGTAAAATGAGCTGGAGAAGGAAATGGCAAACCACTCCAGTATCTTTGCCAAGAAAATCCAAATGAGGTCATGGAGAGTCAGACAACAAAGAGTCTAGGATAGAATGGCTTAAGGATAGTGAAAGTGATGCCCAGCTTCCCTCATATGAGCCAGTCTTGATCTCTAGTTTTGAAACCAGAGCCCTATAGCTGATTATTTTCCATATCTGCCAAAAATTATCTCCCTGGGTAGAGGGTTTGATTCATAGAATCACAGGATGTCAGAGTAGGAAAGGCCCCCTAGGGACCATCTGGTCTAACTAGTGCCTGATAAAGGCTTCCAAAGACCATGAAAATGGGACAATAGAAAGCAAATGGAGTGGCTGAGCCCCTTTTTCTCATACAATATCAGAGGCTGGGAATCCTAGTCTGTCAGAGAGACAACATGGGTGCAGTAGAAAAATACTCAGCTTTGGGGTCAGAGGACTGGAGTTCAAAGTCTACCCCTGATCATTGGTACTCAGGTGACCGAAGGCAAGTCCCTCCCTTATCTTTCCTGAACCTCAGTTTCCTCATCTGTAAAATAATGAGGCTGAGCTCAGAGGTTATGGCCTTGTGCTCTGTATGAGGCCATCTTGCCCCACTAATAACTGGAGGTAGTGAATTAAATAAAGACCCAGATGATTCATTTAGCTGTAAGTACAGTCACCCGAGGCTGATTTGTCTTTTCCCCTTCTGCACACCTTGCTCTTCCCCAAGGAGAGTGTGCATCCATCCTGCTGGTTATCCGTGCAGCAGCCTCTTTCTGCCTTCGTTGCCGGAGCCGGGAGATGCTTCAGGACCTCCAGGAAGCCTTCCGGCTGAACCCAGACCGCGCCAAGAGGCAGCTGGAAGAGGTGTTCTCACCCAGGGACATGGATCAGATCCTGGCGCAGGCCCAGGAGATACTGGAGAGGGACTTTTCCCTTTTCAGAGAGGCAGTGAGAGCTCGAGTAGAGCTCCGAGCTGATGGGGGCACAGAGCTACTGCCTCCCATCGTCCACACCCTGCGCTTCCTCCTATGTGTGGCTCCCCTCGGGGCCCAGCGGGAGCTGACCATCCGGCTTATTGACTGCCTGTTGCTGTCCGGTGACAGCCACTCGGCCCTGGGGCTCTGCGATCGCCTTCTTGGGTCCAAGCACCCTACCTACCTCAGCACCTTGCTCACACTTCGGGGATTCTGCACCCTCCGTGCAGGCAAGGCCGGGCAAGCCCTGGAAGATTTCCAGGCAGTGGTGGAACACGAAGCCCCCCACCCTGGGAGCTGCGTGAGAGCCCTGTGCGGGCGCGGGCTGCTGCGGCTGCTGGCCGGCAGTCCGTACCTGGCCACTCTGGACTACATCACCGCCTCTAGGCTGAGGCTGCAGGAAGCCGTCTTCACCGTCAAGTCCTATATCCCCTGGAATCAGCGGGGGCTGCTGCTGAAGGTGCTGCAGGAGGAAGGGCAGAAGATGCTGCAGAGGAGGGCGGAGCCGGCCTCGGGAGGTACCAGCACCTGCTGCAAGAAGGCAACCGAGGAAGAGGGCACCCTGCCTGCGAAAGAGGGGTAATCCCGATTCTCATCCTTAACCTTTAAAGTAATGTACAACGAGGTAGAGAATGAAGACCCTTTCAAAGGACGCCCTAACATCCCTCACCTTTTATTTGAAGTCTGTGCAGGTATTTTCCCAACCATTGGGGGCAACTGGGGGGTGCCTGGCCTGGAAGAATCCTCTTCCTGAATTCAAATCTGGCCTCAGACACTTAGTAGCTGTGTGACCCTGGGCAAGTCACTTAACCCTGTCTGCCTCAGTTTCCTCACCTGTAAAATGAGCTGGAGAAGGAAATAGCAAACCACTCCAGTATCTTTGCTAAGAAAAACCCCCAATGGGGTCACAGAGAATCAGACACTACTGAAATGGCTGAACAACAACAACAACAAAAATGAGGCAAAGGAGTTAAGTGACTTCCCTATAGCCAGAGAACAGAATAAAGGCAGGACTAAGAGATAGTAAATAAACATTTATTAAGCACCTACTATGTGCCCAGCAGAGTGCTAGGGATACAAAAACAGGTAAAAGATAGTCCCTGCCCTCAAGGAGCATCCAATCTAATGTCCTAAGAATCGGATGTAAATCTTCTGTTTTTTACTACCCTGCATTTGTACAACAGGCTGATTCTTCTGTAATCTCAGGCAGATGGGATATCATGGAAAGCATACTGGATTTGTAGTTAGAGGACCTGGGTTCAAATCCTAGTGAGGTAGCATAGTGCCACACTTTGAGTCAAGAAGACCCTAGTTCAAATCCTTCTGCAGTCATTTGCTACATGTGTGACCATGTATTGGGCCAGCTACTTTAACGTCTCTTAGACTCTGTTTCCTCCTCTGTAAGATGAGGATAATGGCAACGGCTGTCTCTCTAGCTTATTGTGAGGATTAAGTGAGAACACATAGGTAAAATGCTTTACAAACCTTAGAAGCCCTTAACAATGTTTCTTTTTAATTGTCGTTACCCTTATGACGCTGGGCAAGTCATTTCCTCTTTGGACCTCACTTTCCTCTTCCATAAAATGAAAAGGTGGGATGATAGAACCACAGGGCTCTGGAGCTGGAGTTGGAAGGGACCGTGGATGTCATAGGGTCCAGCCCTTACATGACCTTTTCAGTTCCTTCAAACTCTAAATCCTACAAAATTATCAAGGAGACTGTGGCACAGTTACAAGGCACACCGGAAGTCCGAGGGCTTAGGTTCAAACCTCATCTTCACTAGGGGAGCTGGGCAAGTCCCTGAGCCTCACTAGGACTCTTACCTCATCTGTAAACTAACAATTAGATGAGAGTCTCTCTCTCAGGTCCAAATCTATAACCCTGTGAAATGATAAGTCGAGAGGCCTGAGATCTCAATTCCTGCCGTGGGGCTTTAGGCAAATCACGAAATTTCTCATATTTAAAATATGGGTGATTATGCTTGGATTACCAACCTCACAAAACTTTTGTGAAGGTCAGAGGAGAAAATGGAGACAAAGTGATTTGCAACTTGTAAATCTCATTTAAAAAAATAACCAGCTATCATTTTCTCATTCTGCTTTAATAGTATTGTAAGGCAAACTTTCTCTTCAAAAAGTACAGACCTGTGGTTTCATTGGGTTAGGGAGCTCCAACATACTCTCTCTCTCTCTCTCTCTCTCTCTCTCTTTCTCTCTCTCTCTCTCTCTCTCTCTCTCTCTCTCTCTCTCTCTCTCTCTCTCTCTGTCTCTCTCTCTCTATCTCTCTGTCTCTCTCTCTGTCTCTCTATCTCTCTGTCTCTGTCTCTCTGTTTCTTTCTCTCCCTCTCTCTCTCTCTGTCTCTGGCTCTGTCTCTGTCTCGCTCTCTGTCTCTCTGTCTCTCTGTCTCTCTCTGTCTCTCTCTGTCTCTCTCTGTCTCTCTCTGTCTCTCTCTGTCTCTCTCTCTCTCTCTCTCTCTCTCTCTCTCTCTCTCTCTCTCTCTCTCATGAAGATTAGCATGTCATCTATAGCCTAAAGATTTAGAGACTTGCCTATAGTTTAAATATATAAATAAATACTTAAGCATATAAATATTTATTAACTATAGAGGTTAAATGACTTTCCTAGGGTCACCCAATCAGTATGTGCCAGAGGAGGCCATCGTCAGGCAGGAGGGGGGTGGGGAGGAGAGCAGAGGAGCCTCACTGGTGAGTAGGGAGCCCAAGATGGATGTCCCGGCCCATCTGCAGCTGACCTAGACTTCTCATTCCCCTTTTCCAAGGGATGCCTGTGGGGTTCATCAGCTGGCAGCCCTGCTGATGGAGCTGGATGCAAGTGATGAGATATCCAGGCTTCTGAGTGCGGATGCCCTCTACCAAATGGGCCGTATCGAAGACGCCCACAAGACCCTCTTGGTGGCACTCTCCAAGAGCCCCCACACGGCCCCCATCCTGGCCCGCCTGGCCCTGCTGCAGCTACGGAAAGGCTTTTTCTATGATGCCAACCTGGTAAGGTAGAGGGGGGAAAAGGCGTAAGGAAATAGGGCATCAGGAGTAAGAGAAATCAGATAGCAAGGTTCACATAGAAGAGGCTGAGCATCTACATGTGCCTCAGTTTTCCCATCAGTAAAATGGGACTAGATGAATTTCTTCTAGCTTTGGTATTTAGGGAGGAGGGAGGGTCAGGGGAAATAGCCCTGGATTTGGAGTCAAGGGATCACAGGGCCATAGCTTCAGGGGTAGAAGGGACCTCAGAGGTATCAGTCTCTGTGCCTTTTCCCATGCCTAGAATGCTCTGCCTCCTCCCCTCCACCTCCTAGCTTCCTTGACCTCCTTCAAGGCACCACCTCTCCCAGAAGGACTGTCTTGGTCCTATCCACTGGTGCCTCCCCTCTCTGATCACCTTCTGTCTACTCCACCTTTATCTTTTAGGTACTTAGATGTTTACAGTTTGTCTCCCCTGTTAGACTGTGAGTTCTAGGCGAGGACTGTTTTTGTCTTTCTTTATGTCTTCAGAACTTACCACAGTGCCTGGCATACAGCAAGCACTTAATAAATGTTAGTTCACTGACTGATTCTGGTTTAAAATTCAGTGTTCTTTGTATCCAACATCATCTTCAGAGGGGGAAGATGGAGGCATGGGGTGAAAGCCCATATAGTAACTCGACTAGGAAAGAGTCAAACTTTGAGCCAGGGTCATTGAATCATCTCTCGTGTCTTAGGCCAGGCCCTCCAGAGACCAAAAGCCATTGAGCTCTGGTCTTCTTTGGCATGTCCCCAAAATGTACAGCCTACTTTATCCCTGGTACAGATTCCAACCCTGTGACCTGGTGTAAGGACTCTGAACACCCCTGGGCCTCAGTTTTCTCCTTGGTAAAATGAGGGGACTGGACGAGGTCCACCCTAAGGTCCCTTTTAGCTCTAAAGTGTGTGATCCATCAGCTAGAAAGGTTTGCTGATGGTGGCCACAGTCCAGGTGAAAGGCTGGGTGCAGGAATTCAATTAACCAGCAGAGGGCATATTCAGGTCTTACCAGCACAGAGAAGGTCCCACAACGGGACTTACATTGTTTAAGTTATTTTTCCCTGTTCCATCTGCCCCAAACTATCCCCCAAATGTATATAGGATGTCTATATGGTCTACATATATAACATATGTGTGAATATATTTATATATGTATATAATTTATATATGCATGTACATATTTGTGTGTGTTTAGATAGATAGATAGATAGATAGATAGATAGATAGATAGATAGATAGATAGATAGATAGGTAGGTAGATAGGCAGACAGATAGGCAGATAGATAGATAGATAGATAGATAGATAGATAGATAGATAGATAGATAGATAGATAGATAGATAGTTGGAGAGATGGATGGATGGATAGATAGATAGATAGATAGATAGATAGATAGATAGATAGATAGATAGATAGATGGATAGATAGATAGACAGACAGACAGACAGAAATAAGTGTCACACAGTTAGTAAGTGTCTAAGGTCAGATTTGAATTTAGGTCTTTACTGACTCAGGGCCCCAGTATCTGTGTATGTATGCATGCATGTATGTGTGTATGTATGTATATGTATATATAGAGAGATAGATGTATAGCTATATACATAGATGTGTATATATACACATGCACACAAATATGTGTATATATACATGCATTTGTGTATATAAATGTGTGCATGTACATCACATGCGTACATACACATGCATTGTATATCCCCATACCATAAATACATACACATGTGTGCACATATACATATACACTGTACTGCATATATGCATCTGTGTGTGTGTGTGTGTGTGTGTGTGTGTGTGTGTGTGTATACAAACACTGGGCCTGGAATCAGGAAAGCCTGAGTTCATATTTGGCCTCAGACATTTACTAGCTGTGTAACCCTGGCCAAGTCACTTCACCTTCATCTGCCTCAGTTTCCTCACCTGTAAAATAAGAATAATAACAGCTTCTGTCCCCTAGAGTTGTTGTGAGGACAAAATGCCATAGTATTTGTAAATCATAAAGTGCTATGTAATCTTTAAAGCACTACATGAATACTAGTTATTATTGTTATTAGCTATAATTACCTGTGATCCATTTCTCCAGAGGCAGCATGGTAGTAGTGCTTGGCTTCATTGACAGAGCTGGGGAGGACTCAGGATCAAACATGGCAGAAAAAAAAAGTGTCCCCGAGGCCTCATCTGCTCTCTTTCTTTTTTGTTCTATTGTAAATTTAACAAAAACGAGCAAATGCCAAGAATGCAGTTACATAGACAAGGACTACAGCAGCAACCACAAAAAGAACAGAAAACAGGGGCCGCTAGGTGGTGCAGTGGATAGAGCACCGGCCCTGAAATTAGGAGAACCTGAGTTCAAATCCGGCCTCAGACCAAACACTTGACACTAACTGTGTGATCCTAGACAAGTCGCTTAATACCAATTGCCTAAAAAAAAAAAAGAAAAAAAAAGGAAAAAGAACAGAAAACAGCTAATTTTCATTAGGAGTTGTTTGTTTTTGAAAAGTATGTAAATTCACATTTAATTAGTGGATTGACAATCTTTTACTAAGAGCCTATTGCTCACACTCTGCTAAGTGTTAGGGACTTGAAGATAAAAGAGACACATCCTTGCCCTCAAGGGGCTTACATTCTACCCAGGGAGCCAATGCAAGCCTGGCAAAACTGTCCTCACCAAACCTCAGAGCTGGAAGGGCCTCAGAATCCATCTAGCCCAACCCATACCTGACTTAGAATCTACTTCCAACATCTCCAAGAATACTGCACCTTCTTTTGTCCAAGACCTCCGAGAAAGGGGAACCCAGCTGCCTCCTCCATGCTGCCCTTTCCACTTTGGGGAGGCTCTGACTTAAACTGGTATCTTTGCCAGCTTCTACAAACCTGTGGATCCTGGCTTATCCTCTGGGGCCAAGCAGAGCTAGGCTAATCATTTCTACACCTGACAGCCCTTCAGATGCTCCAAGATAGCTCCCAGCCACCACCCCCTCCCCCAAGGCTTTTCTTCAGTCTAAACCTCCCCAGACTGAATGTCCGTGGACTCCAGGCCCTTCGTTATCCTGATTTCCCTCCTCTGAATCCTCTCCCAAATTTCAATGTCCTTCTTACAGTGTGGTGCCCAGAACTGAACAGATGCTGGAGAAAAGTGTCCCAGGGCACAAACGTTCTGTGGTTTTTTGTGTGTTTAACTGTTTTTCAGTTGTGTTCCATTCTTCATGACCCCATTTGGGGTTTTCTTGGCAAAGATACTGGACTGATTTTATGCACAGTATGGTATCATATCCCTTCTACAAAGATGCACCAATTTTGAGGCAGCTAGGTGGCACAGTGGCCTTGGAAACAGGAGGACCTGAGTTCAAATCCAGCCTCAGACACTTGACACTTACTAGCTGTGTGACCTTGGGCAAGTCACTTAACCCTGGTTGCCTTACCAAAAAAAAAAAAAGATGCACCAATTCCTGTTGTCCATCGCTTTGGGACTCTTCCTACTAGACCAGTGATTCTCAGGCTTGTTGGTCTCAGAACCCTTTACACTCTTAAAAATTATTGAAGATTCCCAAAGAGCTTTGTTTATATGAGTAATATCTATCAATATTTATTCTAGTCAAAATTAAAACTAATAGCTAAAAAATTATTTACTAAATGATTTAAAATAACAATAATAAACATGTTAACATGAATAATATATTTTGTGGAAAATAACTATATTTTCTAAAACAAAAAATAATTAGTGAGAAGTGTCATTGTTTAACATGTCTTTGCAAATCAGCACCCCTTTATGTTATTAAAGATTATTGAGGACCTAAAAGAGCTTTTGATCATGAACTTTCTATCTATTGATATTTACTATATTTGGAATTAAAATGGATAGTTTTAAAATATTTATTTACTAATTTATTTCACGTAACAGTGATAAACATGTTAACATAAATAATATGTATTTATGAAAAGTAGTTATACTTTCTCCCAAAAAAAAATAGAGGGCAAAGAGGGTCATTGTTTTCTACCTTCTTGTAAATCCTTTTGACATCTGTCTTAATAAAAGACAACTGGATTCTGCTATCTGCTTCTGTATCCCATCTGTTGTGATATGTTGTTTTGGTTAAAGTACATGATGACAATCCTGATTAATACAGATATACGATTAGAAAAGAGAGGAGCATTTTAATAGGCAAATGTTTTAGTATTATCATAAAAAATAATATTGACCTGAGTCTTAGGGTCTGTGGACGACACTTGGAGAATCACTCAATATGAGCTATGGTGCCCATATTCCCAGATCCCACTCTGGCTCACAAACTATGCCCCTTGTCCCAGAAAGCACAATTTTAGGATAGCAGAATGATGAGGGATAAAGAACCTGGAACATGATTCAGGAAACCTGGCTGGTGGGCTAAATCAAACCAGTGACTATTCCTGCCACTAACTTAGTCTCGGCCTCAAGGTGGCGCACTGAGCAGAGTGCCAGATTTGGAGTCAGAAAGACCTGAGTTCAAATCTAGCCTGTAATACTTATTAGCTGTGAGACCCTAGACTAGTCACAGAACCTCTTTCTGCCTCATTTTCCTCAACTTCAAAATGGCTGTTTGTGTGGATAAAATGAGATAATTAATGTATTAAAGTATTCTGCAAACCTCAAACTGATATATAAGTGCTAGCTGTTATTATTATTATTATTGGTGTTATCATTATTGTTGTTAATCATCATTGTTATCATCATTATCTAAATCTCCTGATGCTACCAGAAGTTTCTGACCTCCTGAATTGAGGGTTGGAAGCCTTAGAGGATCCTGCACCTGAGCTTTCTCTAAAGATGGGAAGGGATGGTCCTATGTGGATGAAATGAAGGGAATCCATTTGAGAATCCATCAGAGGAGAGGAATCCTCTTCCCCCAGGTTTCCAGCCTACAGCTTGAGGCTGACATTAGGACCAGAAGTTGTGTCCAGGTATGCCTCTTTATGGAGACAATGGGAAGCTTTAGGACCACGCAGTTAGACTCAGAGTTGGCCATGCTTAGGGGAAGTCTAGTCCTACCTGGAGCCCCACCCTTAGCTCCAACCATAGAGAACAGAAACCTGAGGTCCAAGGAGGTTATGTGATTCATCCAAGGTCACACATTAGACTTCCACCAGAGTCAAGATTAGAACTCAAGTCTCAAGATGCCTGAAAAGCTGCATGTCAATCAGATATTAGTGAATTTAGTCATTCTGGAGGAAATGGCTGTTCAGGAATCCTGAGACAAAACCATTTTGTAAACTGGAATTTTTTTGGTTCTGTAAGTTTTCATTTTGGAAACATACTTTCCATAGTTCTAGTTGGGTCCATGTAGGGAAGGGAAAATGGGAGTAGGATAGAGAGGAAGCTGAGTAGCAAGGAAGGAAGGAAAGATTTATTAAGTTCCTCCTATGGGCTAGGTGCATCCCAAATATTATCTCACTCCATCCTCACAACAACTCTGGGAGGTAGGTACTATTATTATCTCCATTTTAGAGATGAGGAAAATGAGGCAAGCAGAGGTTAAGTGACTTAGCCAGGGCTCCGCAGCTAGTAAATGTCTTTTGCCAATTATGAGGTGCAGCGAATCCATCACTTTCAACCTAATATGGGTGACATAATACATGTGTGAGGCCCGATATGGACTTGGGTCTTCCTGACTCCAGGCCTGGTGCTTCTAACTGCTGAGCCACTTAGCTCAATCAAAGTTGGAAGGGAGAAGTCACTGGTTCTGAAGTCTGAAGACCAGGGTTCAAATACTGTCTCTGCTACTTAATGCAGTCTGGATGTCTTCAAGTAAGTCCCTTGGCTGCTCTAGGCCTCAGTTTCCTTCTCTGTAAAGTAGGGCAAGGTTGGGCTAGAGGACTTCTCAGGTTCCTTCCAATTCTAGTTTTATGCTCCTGTTATGCTATCCATGTGACTTTAGTCGAGTCCCTTAACTTCCCTAGGGCTTAGTTTACCCATATATAAAATGGGGAAGGGTTTGGACCACTTGGCCTCTGAGGGTCCTTCTGGATGTAGATCTATGGTCCTTTGATCCATCTTGGCTAACCCAGACATGGACAAGAATTCCTGCATCAAACACATGCCCCCCTCAAAAAAAATGTTCATTTAGCCTTTGCTTAAATGTTTCATTTGAGTGAGGGCTGCAACATATCCATCATAATTTCCCACCCCATCAATCTCCAGCTGGTATCCTGTGCAATGTAGAGATTGGGGTTGGTGGGAGGAGACCAGCCTAGAGGACCTTGGATGACAAATGAGATTTTCTGCAGTAAGAAATAGGGAGCTATAGAAGATTGTGTATCAGGCTCCCCAACCTATTCCTTTGAGGATAACTCTCCCTTTGCTTCCCTACCTTGCTCAGCTGATAAAGAAAGTTATCCAGATTGGGGACACCTCCTGCCTCCAGCTAATCATGGAGATCTTCAGGGAAGAGGACCGGAAGCTGCTGCAAAACCACTGCCACTCGAGGGCTGTGACAATCCTGAAGAATAAGCAGGGGGACACGTACACCAAAGAGGCCATTGCCTACCTCTCTCTCGCCATCATTGCCTCAGGTATGTTTGGAGGAAGATGAGATCCCAGGCTTAGAGCTGCAAGGGCCCTGAAAGAGCATCTCTCCAAGCCCTCTTATTCTACAGATGAGGAAACTGAGGCTCAGAGAAGTTAGATGGTTTGTCTAGGGTCATTCTAGTTGATATCAGAGCCAGGATTCAAACCCAGGTCTTTGGACTCCAAGTGTGTCCATCTTTCCATCATGCCACACATCCATGATGACAAATGAGATTAAGTGACTTGTCCAAGTAAGCATCATAGGTGGACTGAATCTAGTTCCTCAGACGTCTAGACTTAGGGCTCCTTCTTTCCGCTGCACCATTGTGGAAGGCAAGTCCAGTATGAGACAGTAGTGGAATGGATCATCTACCCATTGGGTGATGAAGGGCTGCCTTGAGAGGGACAAGGCTTTCTGGAGGAAGGATGCAATAATCCCATTTGCTCTACCCTGGTTGGACCTCAACTGTGATTCTGAGGGTCACGCTTGAGGAAGAACATTAGTAATCTGGAAAGTGTCCAAAGGAGACACCCAGCATGATAAAAAATCCATGTCATGTAAGGGTCCATCAGAGGAATTGGGCACATTTGGCCTGGAGAAGGAAAGATTAAGGGGAGCCATGATCATGGTGTTCAAGTATTTGAAGGATTATCATATAGAGGAATGGTTTGACTTGGTTTGCCTGGCCCCATAGGGCAGAATCAGAAGCAGTGTTTTGAGGAAGATCTAGGCTTGAGGTCAAGGGAAACTTCTTAACGCTCAAGATGTAGAATTGAACATACTATTTTGGACATGGCCAATGTGGGGATTTGTTTTACTCAACTCTGCATATTTGTTGCAAAGATATTGTTTTTCCTAATTTTGTTTTCAGGGGAAGGGGAAGGAGGTGTGAAAAAGAGAAAATAAATGCTTATTAATTGAAAATAAATCTAATAGAAAGAAAGAAAAACTTCCTAACAATTAAGGCTGTCAAAAATTGGAATGGGTTACCTCTAGAAGACCACTTGTGAGAGACATTACAGAGGGTTCCCTTTTATCTTTACATCTGTAAAAAATAGGATCTGTTTCAGATCCATAAATCCATTTCCTTATTATGAGTGTGCAGCTATAAGACTAACCAGCAGAGGGCGAGAGTGTGATGCAAAGAAAGCCCAGGGATGGTAAAGCTTCCCTGTGTTCACCATTCCCAGTTGTTCCCAGTTGTTCACTTCCCAACCCCTCTTCCACCCTCCCAAAAGCCAGCTGGGACCCAGGATTCCACAAGAGATGCCTCTAGTACAGCTAGGATAGCTATCTCCTACTTTTTTCTGATTATTATTTTTTGTATTTATCTATCTATTCATTTATGTATTCATTCATTCATTCATTCATTTATCTGTTTGTTTGTTTATTTATTTATTTCTAGTTTTCAACATTCACTCCCATAAAATTTTGAGTTCCAAATTTTCACCCTTCCCACCCACCCTAAGAAGGTGTGCGATCAGGTATAGGCTCTCCATATACATTCATATTGAACCTATTTTCACATTAGTAATGTTGTAAGAAGAATTAGGACCTTCTGCATCTCTTACTTTTGAACACTCCTTTTTTTTAAATGATGGAAACTGAGCACAAAATAAAATTCATCCCCTCTTGTTGGGATAGAGGATGAAATCCCAGAATGGAGCAAACTGTTCTTCAAACCAACACATGCACACAGACACACACACACACAGACACACACACACACACACACACCCCTATGAATGCAAGCACACAAGACTTTGACATTTCTCTGCTTTACCCTTTACCTTCCGGGCTCAGTAAGCAAGAAGTTAGAAAGAGGCTAGGCTTGTCATTCAACAATCAGGTCGCATGTTCCCAATCATATATTTCCTGACTAATATTTTTGCGCTGTCTTGTGTCTAAGGAGCATATTGCAAGCTCTCTAAATGAACTTACCATGCATTCCTGGGATGAATATTATTAGGTCTTAAAAAACAAATTTATTTTCACATGCATTTATAATCTCCCTTTCCTATTTCCAGTACTCCAATTAAACAACAACAAGAAATAATAATTAAACTCCCATCATAAACATTCATCCCTAGGTCAGCAAAACAAATTCCCCCATTTGGCCATGCATGAAAATGTCCAGTATTTGAAGCTTATCACCTCTCTGGCAGGAGATGAGTGCTATTTCATCTTCAATCCTCTGGACTTAAGATCTATCATCACATTGGTCAGAGTTCTCAATTTTTCTTATGATTACTTCTTAATGTGCTGATGCCTTGGCTGGCATTTACCATATTTGCCAGAGTCCAGGGTGCAGTATTTCTGAAAGCTGAATCCATTTCCTGTCTCTGATCTCTTAATGACACCTGCCCCGAGCACATGAAGGGCTGGCTGATCAAAGGATTCAGAGTGTGGCCAAAGAGCTTTCTCCCTGGTGGGAATGGAAGAGATCTGGGTTTCAAGTCAGAGACTAGATGTGAATCCAAGCTATCCTCTCACTGCCTGTGTGACCTCGGGCAAGATTCTGAGCTTCAGTAATTACTCTCATCTGTACAATGAAGGGGTAGATAAGTTCTTGGGTCCGTTTTGGCCTCTCTGATCCAGTTATCCTATGAGCTATAAAGTGAAGGGGCTGGGCCAGATGACCTTCCCCTGATGCTGAGTAATACCATTACTATTCCTTTGCTGTTGTTCAGTTGTTTTCAGTCATATCTGACTCTCTGTGACCTCTTTTGGGGTTTTCTGGGCAAAGATATTAGTGTGGTTTGCCATTTTCTTCTCCAGCTCATTTTACAGGTGAGGAAACTGAGGCAAACAGGGTGATGTGACTTGCCCAGGATCACATAGCTAATAAGCATCTGAGGCCAGATTTGAACTCAGGTCTTCTTGATTTCAGGCCCAGCACTCTATCCATTTCGCCATCAAGCTGCCCAGAATTATTTATTATTCATAATAATGATTAATCATAATCATCATCATCATCTAAAATGCAGCACCCAGAGCTATACATAATAGATTCAGTCTGATAAGGGCTAGATACAAGGGGACAGTACTCCGTGAAGCATTTCATGGGTTCTAATGTGACTTTATCACAGCAAATCTGGGAAGTATATACATCATTTCTTTCAGTGTTTTCAATGGATGGCAAATCTGTGTGACCTTGGGTAACTCAATTCTCTCTCTGTCTCAGTTTCCTCATCTAGGAAATATAGGAGTTGGATAGGTGACTGCTGAATTCTTTTCCACTTCCAAATCTCTAAGGATGTGAATGCTGCCTCCATGGGTACAAACCATAACCCATCCATGCTTTCTCATCCTCTGGAACACTTAACAATAGCATTCATATAGGTCTGTAGGTTTGCTGAACAATCTAGTTTGATCCTCACAATGGTCCTGTGAGGACAGCACTATTATCATCTTCCATTTTACAGATGAGGAAACTGAGTTTGGGCCAAGGTCACATAGCTAATACGTATCTATGCCAAGATTTGAATTCAGGACTTCCTGACTTCAACTCAAACACTTTATCTGCTCTGCTACCTAGCTGCCATAGACACTTAGCTACTTAGCTATGGCCCTCCCATAAATTCCCCAGAGAAGACACACCCAGTGAGCTGGAGGGATTACTCAAGGTCATGAATGGTTCCATGGGTTCCAGTGTAGCCCTTGGGCCCTTGACCATTGATGGTCACTTCCTTATTTCCCAAGTGCTATTTTCATGCCCCATCTTGCACATCAGTCATTATCAGTAACACTGCAGTCTATTCATACCCACTCTCCATCAATGAGTTCAGTATTATTGTTGATTAATATATTAAGTTATAGCATGACTTGAGTCAGTCATGGAACCAGGAAGACCTGGGTTCAAATTCTGCCTCTGACTTACCCTGGGCAAGCTAACCTCTCAGCTCTCTAGGCAGCTTTAGAAGTCTATAAATGGCAGAGTGGGCACCATACTGAGGGTCCTCATCTGGGAGGTCTGGACCCTATCCCTAAGGTGCTGATGCTTTGGGTTCTATTTCCATGGGAATAAAATTCCACTTAACATCTCTCTTGTAAATGGTTCCCAAATGGTTCAGTCCACCCACAAGCCTGGCCCACGCTTTCCTACCTATATACATGGTGTCGTTGGGTGCACACAGAAACAACAGTGAAGTCCACGAAGAGAGAAACCCATGTGCCTGCAAGCAATTCATGCCTCTATTTACTACAGGCCTGAATGTCTATGGGCCCTTTGGGGAATTGTCTGAACCATGCCTAACCTGTTCATCCTCTGTGTTCCCACTGTCCTGCTGGACAAAGCAGCTACTCTTAGGGCTTAGAAGTAGTGTTAGTTTCTTTCAATAAACAGCAACCTTATACTCTTTCAGTGAAATAGCCGCTCTGCTTCTGGGGTTTGTAGTTTTCCACACCTGTGCCTTGGCAAAGCTCTGAAGAATATTAAGTTATTTTGATAACAAATAATTCCCTCAAGTCAGAGAATTGCAAAACTCCTCAGATCTGGATTCTGCTTTCTTCTGTGAGCTCCCAGCAGCTAAGGTGCTGTCTGTCCTCCCAGAGCCACTGGAGGTCTTGTCTGACCTTATTCAGCTCTCAAATTGTAGACGGTGTGAAAGAGCAATCCAGCTTATCCCAGCCACTCTTGTCCCACCAGGGTTCTCTTGTCTCCAAGCAACTCCAAAGCTCTCCTCCAATGGGCTTTCAGCAGCAACTACAGAACTCACCTGATTTCAGTCATCTTCTCTTCGGGGCCTCGCCCTAAGGAGCTGTTCCTCTCCTCTAAGCATCCTCTGCTCTGCTCCTTTGGAGCGTCAGGAGACACTCTGATCTTCTTCTGCCTCTGCTGTTCCCATCTCACTCTTGAAGGCTTTCATATCTCCTCTTCTGATCTCTGATATTTCTCTCCCCCACCTTCACCCCTTCCTGATATGGTTTCTTACCCCTCAAATCAGGACTCTCATTGTGAGTACTGACCTGTCACCTCTAACCTAAGTTGGGGCCATCTCCAGT